ATTTGTATTTTACTTAAGTTTTGCTGTATCCGGATTATTGTTATTGTTATTATTACCACAATACCAAGTTTTTTTTTTCGAAAAAATCTGTGGATCTCTGGTAACAGTTTCATCAGTTTCAATCAAACCAATTTTAGGTATTTGAATATATTCATCAATGATATCGTGGAATGGGTTGATTGAAATTGAAATCTAATTTTACTAAAATTAAATAAAAAATAGATCAATGTAAAACCTTATGTGGGGTGATATTGGGCCAAAGCATAAATTTGGTTACCATATCTTAAAATATGAAAATGTAACGTAGTTTTTAGGAGTACATTGGCTATGATCACAATATTCTTCGTATGTATGGCTGAAGACCATTTTTTTAATACATCAAGAAATGGCTACGTGATGTCATCGCAAACTTACCGATAACGGTTTTCGGAGGCATCGTGTTCGGAGTGTTAAGGAAATAACTATTGACATAAAATTACGTCTTTCAGTAACATATTGGGGGTGCAATTAAAAAAAACCCAAAATCGACCGCGTTACGAAAAGTGGTCAGGTTTTGGCCACTTATAACTCTGTCAATAGCGGATGGATTTTAATTCTAAGCAAGCCAATCGATTGGAAATTTTTCTACAAATCTGCCAAAATGAGCACTTTTTAAATTTTCAATAGGTCACTATTGAAAATTACACAAATGTCCAACTGTTACAATGGTGATCAAAATGATCACCGATTGCTTGCAAAAAGCGCTTTCCCTTATACAGATTTCAAAATCTTATTCCATCCGATCTCACCAAACGGTGCTTATTTAATAACCGTGTCTGGGTCAGTAGCAGCAGCAGTGCTTTCGGTGGCTTGACGTTTTATATTTGTCTCTAGTACACAACGAAAGGCTCCCTGCAAGCAGCTAGATATCAAGGCTGCCCGTAAGAGCTCTCGATTCACCGAAGAAGGAGGAAGAAGCCACACCGCTACTGATCCCGGATTCAGTTGCTCGTCCAGAGCCGCTGTGGGCCATCTATGCCAAGCGCGTCACTCTCGTTCCAAGCAACATACAGCTCGCCAGCCTCATCCATTTTGAACACTCTTATAGCAAAACGGTTATTTTCAGGACCACCATAAATTATTGTTGTTTAAGAGACCACCATACATTATTGTTGTATGCTGCCAGCCACATCACCCCCAAAACTCTTGTATTTGTGGTCAAATGCAAAACAGTATTGAAATGGTACATACAAATTATCGCAATGATCGAATGCCACATGATCATGTCAATTCGAAGAAACACTTCGAAATAGTGTAAGGTTTTCTCCAGGACGCTAGAAAAAAGTAAACTAATCTCAGATTTATATGATTGATCGCGTACTTACTTACTTAAGGGTCCTGTGCACCACCAGCGGTGCAAAGGGCCAACGTGAAAGACTTCCATCCTGGGCGGCTGCTCGCTTTTGCGCCCAGGTCAGATTCCTATCGACTTGCTTAATTTCCTTATTGAGGCTCCGCCGCCATGAGCCTGTCTCTGCTGCGATGTTCTGCCGGATTCCAATCCAGCGCTTGCTTGCAGATTTCGTTTCCGCCCCGTCGAAGTGTGTGGCCGACCCACCTCCACTTTCGCTCTCGAATTTCTGTTGCTATCGGATAACTTTGCACAGAACTTTGAGAACAATACACAGTAACATGATGCCTCGCCAATTGTCGCACACAGTCAGATCCCCCTTCTTTGGGACCTTCACTAAGATGCTCTGCATCCAGTCGGCCGGAAAAGTGGCGGTGTCCCAGATATTACAGAATAGTTGATGCAACATTTGTGCGTATATCATGGGGTCAGCTTTGAGCATCTCCGCTGATATGCGATCGACCCCTGGAGCCTTGTTGGATTTCATGCTTCGGATAGCTGCTTCAATCTCCTGCAGTGATGAGGCCAAGGAATTGACGCGGGTGATGCGCCGCACCCTAGGCGGATCATGCCGAGATGTTGATGGCTGGTTGGCCGACGAAACTTGAAGAAGTTGTTCGAAGTGCTCAAACCAGCGTTTCAGCTGGTCAGTGGGGTCGGTAAGTAATTGTCCAGTCGTGTCCTTACTGGCATCCTCGGGTTCATCCTTGCTCCACTCAGGCGTCATGAGATATCGTAGTGGAGGCGTATATCGCCAGTGTTTGCGGCTTTCTCCCCTTCGTCGGCCAGGGAGTTCACCTGGCACCTCTGCCAGAGCGCTTGACTTTCTTCACTAGAGCCGAGTACAGTTGACGGGCTTCGTTCTTGGCTCCTCTGGTTCTCGCCCGCTCTATCGCGGCTTTTAATTCTCTACGCTCCTCAATCTTCCGCCAGGTTTCATCTGTGATCCACACTTTCCTCACCCAAGTTATTCTCGCTTGTTTCTATAAAGGCATTATTGATGGCCGTCCATTGTTCTTCTACGCTGCCACCTTCTGGAACGTACGCAGCTCGAGTCTCAAGTTCTTCAACTAAAGACCTTTTTACCGCTGGATCTTCATCGGCGTGTGTTGAACCGCCTCCCGTCGCTGGATCCGTGCCATGCGTAGGCGGATTTCACCGATTAAAAGGTGATGGTCAGACGCGATGTCGGCGCTGCGTTTATTCCGGACATCAAGAAGGCTCCGTCTCCATTTTCGGCTGATGCAGATGTGGTCGATCTGATTTTCGTTATGTCCATCACGGGAAACTCACGTGACTTTGTGCACTGGCCGATGGGGGAAGAGCGAGCCCCCCGATCACCATGTCGTTATTGCCACAAAATTCTGCAAACAGCTCACCGTTCTCGCTCATTTCGCCGAGACCATGGCGTCCCATGACACGCTCATAGTCCATGTTGTCGGGGCCGATCTTCGCATTGTAGACGCCAGTGTAGATCTTGATGTCACCCTTTGGAACCTTATCCACGACGGCATTCAGTTGACTGTAAAAATTTTCCTTGTCCTGTGGCTCGGCAGCATCGGTTGGCGCATAACATTGGATTATGGTAAGGTAAAGAACTCGTGTTCTAAATCTGGCAACGATTATCCTCTCATTAACAGGCTCCCACTTGCCTGGAGGCTAAGTAGGAGACCAACTCCACGATGGCGGGGAGCGTTTTCACCTCGAATACCAGAGTATAGTAGTACCTGTCCCGACGGCAGTTTGTGTTCTCCAAAGTTTGGCCAACGAACTTCACTCAGTCCCAGGATTTCTAGCTTCATGCGGCGCACCTCGTTGGCAAGTTGTGCCAGTTTACCTTGCTGGGCTAACGTCAATACATTCCATGATCCAATTCGTGTCCGTTGTTTTGCGCTAAAAGTCGTTGCCGTTATATAAGTTCGATGTCTTTCTCTGTTGGTTTCTGTAACAATTGCAAAGGTTCCAGAGACAGTAGGTGGTTGGCCTAAGGTCTCCTATCCGCCGTGATGGGGCTGTCATCTTAGGTGTAGCTTCCGGGGAAGAGCATTTCTTATTCAGCCGCTGGATGCCAGTCAGACGCTGTTTGAGCCGCACCTCCATGGTGAACAGACGCTCGGGTTGGCGAAGCATTTCCTCTATCACCGTGCTATGGCTACCGCGCCAGTGTTTGCGTCGCACCTCCTCACTCTGCTATTGTCCATGTTTCAGCTGGCATTTTTTTGTGATCATATGACTCGTGGAGGCGTGAGGTAGGAACTTGCGAGGACCCGAGCTAGGTATATTGCTCGTTCCAGATTGTCTTTCACCCTATGATTGTCATGTAGCCCTATGATTGATCGCGCATGGAAAAAATGAGCAATAAATTCGTCTAATAAATTTTTGCTTCTTTTCTTATCTGTGTCATAAATCGAAAATTCCTTGCGGTTTGTGCACGAGAATACGTAATTTTATCATCAGAAAACGAGGCGTTTCCGTGATCGGAAATAGTGGTTCCCCTAACACAGTCACCGAATATTGATACCGAGCACATAATTCTACGTCAAATCTACGGTCGTGTCTTGGATACAACCCTTTACTTTTTTCAAATAGGTTTAATTTTAAGTGCACTTAATTTACTAAGAGAGGAACCAATACAAATGGCAAGATTTTATCGAATTCAACGGATACGAAAGATCAAAATTACGCAATAGCATTCTCACCGAATGTTTCTATCTCAACTCAATGGATTTCATCATTCGAGCTGTTTAAAATGAAGTTTCCTACCACCCGAACTTAATCACGGAGCAATATTACGTTTATTTATGTGCTAGGCCTAAGAAATCTTAAATTTTTGCCTCATTTTCTTAAAATCTCTGATCGTCGTTTCAAAACTGCTCGATTATATGATTAACTCGCTGTTGACATGCAACACAGAACAGTTGTTTCTCATCAATGCCTTGTGAATGATTCATGTTGATGTTTTGTTAGCTATTAATTAATGTTTAGAGTTTTGAAACATTGAATTACAATTGCAATCGAGGCGACCTGCCTATTTGTACAACTTTTCGCTACTCCCCCGCATCATCGTGGACAGTTGCCTACTTATTTCCGTTCCATCGGAAGCTTTCGAACCGTACGCCAAAAACGCAACTTCAACCATTTCTCCATTCCGCTCTCCGTCCTCACTTCACATCAATCCTCCCCCATCTGTAGCGGCAGGCAGACAACACAATTTTCCATACCTACCCACTTTTCCACCCCATTCACCAAGCAAGTGAAATTGAATCTTTCTCTCTTTCAGTTCTCTTTCTCTTTCTCTGGAAACTCTCATGCCAACTCTGGATCTTCGCGGTGGCAGTGCAGTGGTGTGGACAGAGTTGTTGCTGAAGACTGCTGGTATGGTTGGTAGGTAGGTAGCACTTGCCGCACTGGTTGTTGTTGACTCTCGCTCTCCGCAGATTGCCGCTTCTGTTGTTGCGCTTCTACCCATTCCCATTTTCCACTCCAGCAGTAGTAGCAGTTGGGCTTGGGACGATCCCTGGTTCTTCTTCATTCACCGTCAACACCAGCGGTAGCACCGTAAAAAGAGTTCATACTCCAAAATCAGTTCAGTTTGCGTTTGACCATCGAATCGGTCTGATGTGCGCTTGAGCAGGTCTTTGCAGAAGAAAATTTCAATCTCGCGTGTGATTCATTCGTCTGAGTCTGAGTACATCATCCGTTAGAGCACGTGAACGCGCGAATTTGAACGATATCTACTTGTGTGAGCTCCCGTATTGATTCCGGCCTTCTCAACCGAATGATGTCTGTTCAGAGTTATTAGAGGAAGGAAAATTGGCGGAATTAACTTTCTGATTTATTCTGCTTGCACTGGCTCGGGAAGAGTTTTCACTCTTTTCGGGAGATTCCTCGTTTTCTCTGTTTTCGACCGCGGTCTGGACGTGTGATATATGCAGTTAACTTTTGCCGTGCAGAACTGAAAAGCTCGCCCGGTTGTTGCTGGTGCCGTTGGATTCTTTCTTGTTTCGTGTGTTCAGTTGATTTGCTTAAAATTATTACGATCCGCGCGGGAAACCGATCCTCTCGGAAGGAGGAAACATAGCCGAAGAACGCAACCGTTTAGCGTGTGATCTCGTTTGCTAAAAAGAAGATTACAGATAAATGCTTCTGCTAGAGGAAAAGTGTGAAGCGGTTAATTGATACGAGCGGCGGAAGGAAGATCTAGGTGATTTTTAAACTATCGAGAGCCATTTTCTTGAAGCAGACAGGCAGGAGAATTGAATTTAAGGCAAGTGTTGTGGAAGGAAAAATCATAACAATCGACCAACAAACGCTAGACGCCCTATAATTGGTAATCTGGCTATAACCAGCTCGTGGGCTGCTCGTTCAAGTCCGTTAGGCTCAACCCAACGCAATAACGCGTGTGGAGTTTTCGAAGAATTAGGATTGAAAGTGTGTGCTAATTAGATTAACGTTACAGTTTGCAATTCCTGTGGCCATATTTTCGCTTTCCATTGTACCTCAGGAGGATCCCCGGGGGTAGAAGAGAAAAGAAAACGAGCGAAAGTGAGATTGTTCCTGCGGGACAAGTTAGGTTCGAAACAGGAAAGATTGTGTGAGAGTGTGCGGACGGTCGTTAGTGGTTTGTTCCAGTTTACCGCTGTGGTCGGACGTACAGGTGCTTTTCAAAAACGAGGCTCTACGAACAACCAGGAAGGATGAAGCTGAAAGTGGAACTTCTTGTTTTGATGGTAAGTGTGATGGAGATAGTTGAAATGTTGTAGAACCTGTGACTGTGACAATCCTTCGTAGGTGACAATCATATTCTGCATTTTTAAGACCCATCCACGATTGTTGCTAGATTCACAAAGATAATTATTTCCAGAGGGAGTTTATTGAAAAAAAGTCAATTAATCGAAAATAATTGTCCCACGAATTGTGTAACGAATAAATGCAGACTTTATACATATATAGAATTTTTTAGATTTTTCCTATTTTTTTTTGAATTTCCGAACAAGGAGGCCGTAATTTTGTGTGTAACCTTAAAAATCCTAGTTTTGACATAAGACATGCTCATGTCATGCTCAGACTGGGGAGTTGAAAGTCGATCATGATAAAACAACAACGTTACACAATTTATCACGAACACCGTTTAACACGTTATAGGTCCCTAGTTTGAACATGGCATTATGGAACATGCATTAATGACGTAGAATTTGACGGAGCCATTTATGGATGGTCCCTTACTCAATGCATGTTTGAGTTTTGCAACAAATATCACTATTAAATGGCATTCTATGTCATTCGTATGCAGACAGTTATACAGCAGAAATTCACTGGTTGGGTCACCACCTCGGCCCAACTAACGGATTCGATTCGTTAGTTTGGTCAACTTACAGAAGGCTAAAATTTGTTAGGGGGTATGCATATCCTTTTTTACGGTTAATAAGATTTAACAAAAAAACAATTTGGATTGAAGCAAGTTGCTGAAACTGAGAGAAACTGAGCAAAATTATGATGTGCTTAATATGCGTTTTTGTTTTATTCTGGAATTTCAAATGAAATCCAAATGTTTCGAACAAATAGGGGAAATGGCTCTAATGTTGGCCTATGGATCTAACATTGGGCCCATCGCTAAAAATCTGCTATTTATCAATTTTAACTCGATGAACGCGTGATTGGGATGGGACTTATAAATATTTTTAGTCGCTATTGAAAATTTTGTCGATTACTGAATTTATGTACGGGCCCAAATTAGGGGCATTTAGACCGACATTACATCCATTCCCCCTACCATATGTTTACATTCATTACACTGACTGCGCAGTTCAAAACGCATATGCTTACCCTAGGAGGAGTTTATGGTTGATTCCCAGACAACCAGCAATCATATACCAGCGTACAAATTGAATCGGAAATTGCTGCTGATAAAGTCGACATCGCATACAAGAATGAAATGCACCGTATAATGTTTAGGTTAAGTCGGAAATAATGCAAATTTTCAACCTATTGGCGATGATTCATTTTTATATCGTACCGTGTCAAAAATAAGCTCGGATGAAGTTGTAAGGTTTTAGAAACTGAAATTGTTATTACAGATTAGATCGTAAATTATTTTTAATCAAACTGATGAAAATTGGGTGTCAATTAACTCGCATATCGCTTCCCCAGATAATCAAAGATAGCATAAAAATGTGCACACTAGGTCGCATTTGAGTTTGCTTCAAGATAAGATCAATAAGACTATAACAGCATTGCATCTTGTTGCAATTCAAGTTGAAATTAACGCAAAACTACGATCAAAATCAAGAGATCGTTAATGGTTACACCTCTCTATTGCGTGTCATCAAAATATGCGACTATTTGTATAATAATAGATATGATTGTCATAGGATGTGGAGAAAGGTGCCGTGAAATCTAAACCAACTTAAGATTCAATCGTTAACATAATCTGATGCTTTTCATCAACATCGAAATCTTTCCAAGTCCAAGTAGGCTTTTTGAAGCTTATAATTTATCATTGATATAATCCTCTGTACTTACAAGTGCGTATACATATGGTGTAGTGGATTCAGTTCTGGTTTCTGGTTACAAAGGTAGACGTATGGAGACTAGCTGCTGGAATACCTTTTTTGTTTTATTTATATGGATGATCGTATTTCTGTTAAATTGATATCGGCAAAATTGTTACTGGAAATCCTATATGTATGTATATGGCCTCCACTTTGGAACGTACCCCCAAGTAGCACAATTCTGTCCCAAAAAGTTGCAGCAACTTGTTTATAGCTGAAATAAGTTTCCAAGACCAATTTATAACAAGGGTGCTACTAAGGACATAGCAAATCTGCGCATCTTACACGATTTGTTTGGTTAGTATATCACTGTGTATTTCCGGAACTATACGGAAGAAATGTTGACTGGGCTGTCAAATCTATTTTGACATGAGATTTTGACATCCAGATGCTTTTTAATTTGGCCATGGTCCAACTATCGAACAAGAACACCCCAACTTATGAGCCCCCAACGAACGAATTTCCGCTGATTTTGCAGGAGTATTTTTTAATCTTTATTAACGAGATTTTTAACCAAAGGCTAGTACATCTCCAGGCGATAGGAGCAGTTCCAATCTCTTTGCAACTTTCTATCATGAAATCTATACCACATTTTCTGAAGACGATGGTGATCTCGAATATTTTGGTTCCTTCCCAGAATTTTCTAGAGACATTAGTGTCAATCAAGTCAAAGTTCAGGATATTATGGAAACATTAGATAAGTTAAATATCTCCAATGGTGACCTGAATTTTTGAAGAACTTTACATTGGAGCTTACAGCTTACATTTGTATGTCGCTGGAATCCGACAACTTGCCCAAATCATGGAAAAACTCTTACCTAGTACATATTTTTTAAATTGTCAAAAAATCTGACGTACATAATTTCTAAGGAATATCCATTATTTCTTGCATGCGTAAAACCTGTTGAAACAATCATATATGAAAAATTGTTCAGTCAAGTCGAAAACAGATTTGCTAACATGCAACTTGGATTCTTCAAAGGACGTTCAACAAATACAAATTTAGTCGAATTCGACAATTATTCAAGCTCTCTTTACAGATTTCAACAAGGCATTTGATTGCATTAACAAAATTAAAAATCTGGAAATTAAGTCAGGTCATCTCAAACGACTCGAATCTTATCTAACCTTAACTATTGACATGTTCCAAGCTCAATAGGATTAAAAAAATTAAGACGCGACCTTCTCTGATTTGCATGAAACTTTATATAATTATATTTCATGGGAAATCATTCACAGTTTTGCAAAAATTCTTTGACATTAGGCATCTTTGATATTGTTCAATAAATTGTAGTATTAAAACGTCACTTCTGATCGAAATGACGTCTGACAAGTTGTTTGAAAAAGTAAAGTAAGTCTGGGAAAAATATACAATGTTATTTTGTTTTAGTAACATTGAGACAAATAATAAAACAAAACGGAAATATTTTTAATTTCTATATCAAATTATATTGTTTTGTATATTTTTCCCAAAAAGACTTTATTTTCCTCTTTAACATTGTCTCAGAGATCATTTCGATCAGTTACTTCTGCTATAGTTTTTGTGCTACAATTTAATGAAACATTTGAAAGATGACATTTAAAAAAAAAATCAACATCCAAAATGGGCCGAATTTTTGAAAAAAAAAATAACACACAATTATGCAAAGTTTTAAATAAATCGGAGATAGTCTAGTTTTTCTGATTCGTCATTTGGCGTGGAATTGTTCTAATCGTCAACAAACAGGGAAGGAATCAAATCTAACTCAAGTCACCTCAAGAATCCGCAAAGGCTCTCATCTAGGTTCTCTTATTTTTATATTATCACAGTGTTCATGACCCGTACACAATAAAAACATTACACATTGCTTATGTAAAGTCAATACGGAAATATTGTAGTGTTTTATTGGAGTGTAGTTTGGTCACCTTTATCAGTCATGCACGTGCTACAGAAGCAGTTATTATTGTCTGCACTTCGTAAAATAGATTGTACAAGATTTCCTCTTCCGTCATTTGAAGACCACTATTTAAAGCCCGAACATTAGAAGACCTCCGGGAATTTGCAATTGTCTCATTTGTAAACGATATACGTTTCGCATCGCATTGATTCATTATTACTTTTATCAAAACTTAATAATTACAGTCCATCTCGGCAACTACGAAATCGAAATATTTTCATTTCAAGCTACCATCGTACAAATTAAGCCAATTTTGGACCTTTAAATCAGATGATGGCAATTTATAATCAACAATGTGAAACTATTGACTTTATAATGACAAAAACCAAATTTGAAGCAATACTTCAATTTAATTCTTTCTTCTTCTTTGGAAAGGTTTCGTCAACAATTAATTTTCTTTGCTATTTGGCCTGGAATTGCTGCTCATAGCTTTCCTGACAACACTAGAATACAGAGAGGTACCGGCTGCATGAGGCAAATTTACTCATCGCTGAGTTCCTGCACTTTTGGCGATTATGAGTAAACAGAACTCAAATTTGGGTTGATCTCATTGGCCGTGTGGTAGTTTATTCTAGGTTTCCCCAGAAGTGCTACTGGCCTCCTCCTTTAGTTTCTATCGACAACATCTACGATTTAGTTAGTTTAGAAAAATTGAAAATTTACAACAAAACAATTCCAAATTATTGAAAATTTCACTTAGTTTTAAGCAACCAGTGTAGAGGGTTCTGCCCGGGAAATCCTGGGTCAAAAAACCCGGGATCAAAAAAATCTCTAATCCTAAGATTTTTGCAAAATTCCCGGGATTGCTGCAAAAACAATGTGGAATCGCACGAAAACAAGCTGCTGGAGCAATTTATCAATCTATAAAGATTGAATCAAGGCAGCACATAAGAAGCTTGGAGAAAATGCAGTTGTATTTTAAATATAATTTCTAGTTCAAACCCTTGTTAATGAAGCATCGAGATGCCAGTTAATAACGCCTAAAGTGCTTAAAGATGGTTTTGGACCGAATAAACGAAAGATGCACTATTAAATCAAATTGGTTTAACTTACGATATTGCATCATAACAACTAAACATCAAGTTCATCTTCTTAGTTACTTGATCTTTAACAATCCATGGACTGTTTCTACAACAATGAAACAATTGACTGGTTTGAGTTCGACAACAAATAAAAAAAAATATCAAAAACTGTCATCAGCTTCGCTCATTGAACTTCATCAATTTTCGACTTGCTGCGACT